CTTTTGATTTCTTGTTCTTTTGCTTATTATTTGTGGGATTGGTACTCTTCTTTGTTTGGTTTCAAATGGAACCCCACCTTGGGTGTGCTGAACCTTTTTGACTCTAGCTTCTTCCGACAACCAAGGAAAAGGGGTAGGGTAATGTGGAGAATGTTAGTGTTGAATATGTAGGGGTAGTTCTGTCTTTATACTTATGTTTATATGCTGATGTGTAAGATTATGTTAGATTTAGTGTCCCTTACTTAAGTAGGGGCACATGTGTCTTTTCCACAATATAAGTAATATAAGTCAATTCTGGCTGAATGGGAGAGTGATCTTTTTCTCTCATTTGAACCAGTTCTTTCTCTCCCTTTCTTCTCTTCTCTTCTTCTTCTTTCTCTCTCTCTCTCTCTCTCTCTCTCTTTCTCTTCCTTCTTGACTGTTATCAGCTTAATAGGATTCAAAGGCAGGCTGAATCCTAATATGGTATCAGAGCAAAACTGAGCAAATCAGACCTGCCCAGAATTCTGTTCTCTACGCACCCAGTCTAGGGTTTTCTCTTGGTTTCTTTGCCATCTGTTGGAGATAAGGGAAAGGGCTGAAAAGGAGTGGTCGCCCTTTTCCCTTGGAGGTCTCTATGCCTTCAGTTGTGCTGTTTGTGGTTGGTTGCCGTCGTTTCTAAGAAGCCCTCCCCTAATCGATGAAGAGAATAGGGCTGGTTCGTGTGGTGCAGTGGATGTCTTGTGTGGTCTGATTTTTGGGTGATTAGGTAAGAGATTTCTATGCAATTTCGTGTTGTGAATCAAATCATAAGTCTGTTTCAGATTGTATGGTGGGATTTCAGATTGTAGTGTGCTAGGGTTTATGTTTTCTTTCAATATGATTCGAAAGGGGAGTGGTCCTCAAACAGTGTGGTGAGTGTTCAAGTAGTTGTGGGGTAGGGTTTGTGGTGTAAAGAGTGCAATTTTCAGTAGTACTAAGTGCTGAAACCAGTGTGTTCAGTGTGTGGTGTGGTCTAGTGTGCAGTGTGCCGAATTCAGCAATATCAGAATTCAGCTATGGAAGGTAGCAGTGATAGCAAAACTAATGTGATGGTTCCTACTGACTACTTAAATGTTCAAATGACCTCCATTAAACTGAATGGAGAAAATTATGTACCCTGGGCTAAATCTGTAGAAGTTTTTCTAAAGGCAAAGAAGAAGGTGAAACACATGAGAGAAGAAAAACCCTCCACCGATTCTCATGAGTATGATGATTGGGAACAAGAAGATGCACAGATTATCACATGGTTATGGAACAGTATGGAACACAAGATTAGTGTAAACTTCATGTTTCTTGACACTGCCAAAGAAGTGTGGGATCATGCTAAGAAGTTGTATTTGGGTCAAGACAATACAACCAGAGTATATCAGCTGTATCAGGAATACTTTAATCTACAACAGGGTAATCAGAGTCTTGAGGAGTACTATGCCAGTATGAGAAACATCCATAATGTTTATCACCCCCTCACTTCTGATGTCAAAATTCAGCAACAGCAGAGAGAACAACTTGATGTAACTTGATTTTTGGTGGGGCTGAAGTCTGAGTATGAACCAGTGCGGGCCTAGATACTAGGAGGATCAACTCTCCCTTCCTTAGAAGAAGTGTTTGCTCGACTTAGGAGGATTTCCATTGGATCTACTGAGAACACTAGTGTTTACGATAGATCAACCTTTGTAGTATCGAGGGGTCGTGGTGTTAGAGGTGGAGCTCAGGGAGGTCGGTCTGGCCATGGTGTTAGAGGTGGAGCTCAGGGAGGTCAGTCTGGCCGTAGTGGTAGCAGTGGATCGGTATATGGCCGGAGTGGTGGTGGTGGACCTACCTATAACCGTGGTGGTGGTTGTAATGGAGGTAGAAATTCAGGGGGAGCCCATGGCTGAGGACGTAGTTCGGGTCCGAGGAGGTGTACACACTGTGGTATGGATGAACATACCATTAATTATTGCTATGACTTGCATGGTCCACCTTCAACTTGGACCAATCATGCTATGACTAGTGACAGTAGCTTCAGACAGGAGAGTCATTCAGCTAATCAGATGCTTCCTACATCACAGATGTTCCCGGGAAGGAGATGATGAGTGTTCCCCGTGATGAGTATGAGAGGTTTGTTCAGGCCACATCTCAACAGAACACGGCCACTCTCGCACATTCAAGTATGGCTTGTCTGGCATCCACACCCAATCCCTGGATTATTGACTCTGGAGCCTCCGATCACATGACTGAAACTCCAGGTGTGTTTTTTCCCTCTCTCATTGCTCAACATCACAATCTGTTACCCTTGCTAATGGTTCCATATCCTTCATTTGTGGTGTTGGCAGTATTAACATGACCGCTTACCTTTATCCTCAGTTTTGTATGTTCCAAAATTTCCGTTTAACCTTATGTCTGTTAGTAAGTTGACCAAGTTACTTAATTGCTCTATTACTTTTTACCCTTCTTCGTGTGTTTTTCAGGATCTCGAGACGGGGATGAAGCTGGTGGATTGTATTATCTTGATGGTGGTGGAAGAACATCAACAACTCTCCAATCATCTCTCTCTCCTCTCCAGTGGCACTGTCGATTTGGTCATCCTTCGTTGGAAGTTTTGAAGTCTTTGCTTCCTTCGTTGATTCAACTTTTTGTTTTAGATTGTGAGTCGTGTCAGTTGGGGAAACATCATCGTGTTCCCTTTAGTCGTAGGGTTGATAACCGTGTGTCGAATCCATTTCTTTGGTTCATTCAGATGTTTGGGGTCCTTATAAAGTGATGTCATACAATGGAAATAGATATTTTGTCATTTTTGTTGATGATTATTCAAGGATGACGTGGCTCTATTTAATGAAAGAAATGAGTGAATTGTTTACTATTTTCCAAAAATTTTATGCTGAGATTCGCAACCAATTTGGTGTTCGCATTAAAATTTTTCGTTCCAATAATGGCCATGAATATTTTTCTTCATCATTTCAAGAATACTTGGACCAACATGGCATTATCCATCAGACTTCATGTACCTACACCCCACAACAAAATGGAGTGGCTGAGAGAAAGAATCATCATCTTTTGGAAACAACTCGATCTCTCATGCATCACATGAATGTCCCCAAACCCTTTTGGAGTGATGCAGTGCTTACTTCTTGCTTCTTGATTAACCAGATGCCCATGTCTATCCTTGATGGTCATTCTCCATTCACCACTTTGTTTCCTACCTTGTCTCCGTTTCCTCTATCTCCTCGGGTTTTTGGGTGTGTCTGCTTTCTCCATAATTTGGGGCTAGGAAGGGACAAGTTAGATGCACGATCTATTAAGTGCATATTTCTTGGCTATTCCCGGACTTAGAAAGGGTATAAATGTTATCATCCTAGCTCTCAACGTTCCTTTGTGTGTGCTAATGTTTCCTTCTTTGAGTCTACTCCGTTTTTCTTGGGGTCCGGTGATGTTTCTTGTTACATCACCTTAGGGTATTGTACCTTATTGGGGGGAATCTTGTTACATGAAGGGGTAAAAAGCAATCAATTGTTATACATCAATAAAAAAAATCAAGCAGTTGTTGCAAGGTCAATGCAAAACTAGAGTATAGGGCAATGGTACATGGGGCATGTGAATTACTTTGGCTGAAGACTTTACTCCAAGAGTTGGGATATCTAGTTGAAGGAGCAGTAAATCTTTATTGTGACAACAAGGCTGTGGTTAGTATTGTCCATAATCGAGTGCAATATGATTAGTATAATCATATTGAAATTGATAGGGATTTCGTTCAGGAAAAAGTAGCTTCCATAGAGATTTTCTACTAAGAACAAAGGTCCAACTGGTTGATGATCTTACCAAGGCTGTTGGAAAGTCACCATTTTCTAATGTACTTACTGAGCTTGGTGTGTGATAGCTGCTATATGCCATCTTGAGGGGGAGTGTTGGTAGAATTAGCAAAAATACTGCATTAACATAGTGAGGGATATTATAGTCACTGTACTCTTCTTAATTGTATAAGATTAGAAATAGATAGATGTCTAGGTCTATTCCCTTATTCTTCCAAATCTTCTATCTTATTTTTTTTCTCATTTCTTCTCTTTAGTTGACCCTAAACCTATTACTGTTAAATATTTACAACTGTCATTTCACAAGCAACTTAATTTTTTGGAAAAAATGATTCAACAAAAAGGAGAGGAGGCGGTTTTAGAATGCATCATGGCTAGAGTGATTCACTGGGACAAAACTTTGGACATTTTCCCACCTTACTCATGTCATATGATGATATTCAGAGAAGGTGGAGGGAAGTGGTTGCAACTTCTTCAAAAAAGAGTATAGTTTGAAAGGTGTGGGAACTGGCAACCACCTATGGATAGCTTCATAAAGCTAAACATTGAAGAGAGCAGCTATATTAACCTTGACCCTTCAGGAATGGGAAGGGTTTTTAGGGATAAAGAAGGCTATATCATAGCTATGTTTTCAGCTCCTATTTGCTTTGGGGATTCAACAAGGTCTGAACTTTATGCTGCTTTTTGTGGAGTACAAAGAGCACAAGAACTGAATTTTGGATAGGCTAATCATTGAAGGAGATTCCATGATGGTGGTTGGCTGGCTAGAGGATGATGAGTAAAAAGTATGGTCTCATAGAGATGTGCTAAAGAAGATTTAATGGATAACAAGGAATATGCAGATTAGAATACAGTCAGTACAAAGAGTTGCAAATGGGTTGGCTGATACACTAGCCAAGCAAGGGGTCAATAGGGATGAGTTGTAACTAATATTTTGTGGGAGGGGTAGTTATATAAACCTCTCCTTGGGATGCTTGACTGGTACATATTTTCTGTTCATAATTAATAAATTCTGTCACTTATAAAAATAAAGAAAAAGATTAAGTAAATGTATTCTTATGTTGATAACTTCTGTTAACAATTGAATGGAGTCTACATGTCACCTATACTTGGCCTATTGGCATGAACCTTTTTGTTTAAATCTGAAGGTTTATAATCTCCTAACTTGGTTATATTCTTTATTGTCTGCAGGGATAGGATATGCTCTAGCTAAAGAATTTCTAAAAGCAGGTGACAATGTTATAATTTGCTCGAGATCAAGTAAGGGCTTAACTTATTAAGATGCTATTGTTTATTTCTCTTGATACATTCTTATTATTTTCTCATTGTCAGAGATTATTTGGTCTTAGCAAGTTGTAAAGGCTACCAACTATATAGATGGTGGTACAAAGTATTGAAATTTGACTAGATGACATTTGAGACTAGCCTGAAAAAATGAGATTTAGCTTCCCATTGGTTCGTTTACTCTCCTACCAAACATTGCAAGAGGTTTCCCAAACTCCTATTTGCCATTTTTGTTGGACAATCAGTTTGGGGATGGTGACCGGTGAGAACCATATTGCTATTCAGTTCCATTTTTTTCCATAATTATGCTAGAAATGGGAAAGAAATTTGGAATCTCTATCGGAAGTAATAGACTTGGGAACCCATGGAAACAGACCACTTTGTGGAAGTATATATATATATTAATTTTTTTGAAGGTAAAAATAAAATTTCATTAAAAGAAAGAAAAAATTACAACCTGATAGGTGATAAGGTATGACTGCGTACATCATCAAGAAACTACAAAAAGCATTCAACATAAAATTTCCACATTACACATTTGAAAGTCCAGAACTTTCCCAAGCTTATCCCCAAGATCCTCCATTGTGATTTGTCTAAATTCTGTTAATATTAACACCCAGTCTGCGGCAGATTTTCTGACAGCTTCCACAATTTTATCCAAACTCCATGATTTGTCTTCAAAAACTCTTCTGTTTCTTTCCTTCCATATATTCCAGCAGATTACAAATGGAATGCAGCTCCAGATCACCTTTGCTTTCTTGCTTCCTCTTATCTTTGGCCATGAAGAAAAGATCTCAGCAGTAGAAGCTGGAAGAAAGTCTCTTACTCCAAACATGGCAGCAAACAACCTCCATAAAAGCCAAGATCTTGCACGAGAAAAATCAATGTCTAACATTTTCCTCCTGCTCTTTGCACAGGAATCACATATTAGCCATATTGAATCCCCTAGATTTCAGATGATCCACAATCAAGATACTATCCATGGCCACAAGCCATGCAAATGCTTCAACCCTGGGAGGGATTAGATTTCCCCACACACCAACAGTGTGACTTGAATCTGAAAGATCCCTACAAAGAGAAAGATAGTAAGACTTATACAGAAAATTCCCATTTGAGCTTGCACCATAGTTCATCCCTTGACTGGGCTGAAACTTTCATCTCCTCCAATTTATCCAGTAATGTAATGCATTCTTCAACCTCTCTATTCAACAAAGGTCTTCTAAAATTTGGGCACCAAACCAGTTGATCCTCCCTCCTTTCATAATAGCGACTGATAGATACTTCAGGTTCATCCAGAAGCCTATACAGCCTTGGACACAGCTCACTCAATTTGCCTACCCCACTCCAATCATCCTCCCAAAACCTGATTCTGGCTCCATCTCCTACTAAAATGCTTGTCATATTTTTGAATTCCTGATTGAACTTCATGATCTCTTTCCCTACACTCACCCCATAAGAATCCCTCACCTCCCTTGACTCCCACCCAAACCTCACCACCCCATATTTCCCCACCACCATCCTTCTCCAAAGCGAATTTTCCTCCCTCTCCAAATCAAACCTCCATAACCACTGCCCCACCAAATCCTTATTGAAAACCTTCATTCTTCTAAACCCCAAACCTCCCCTCTCCTTCGGCCTGCATACTTTTGCCCAATTTACCAGCTGAAACTTCTTACCCCCTCCTTAATCCTTCCCTTTCCACACCCTTCCATAAGAAATCCCTCTATAGCTTCTCCACTCTTTCAGCCACCCGTGATGGAACCTTCAGTAAAGACATGTAGTAAGTTTGTAAGTTTGAGAGAACACTTGTAATTAAAGTTATTCTCCCCCCTAAAGAAGGATATTTAGCTTTCCAACCATCCAATCTTTTTTCAATCCTCTCCACAATTAGATTCCAAACCACACTTGAGTTCAAAGTTTTTTTTTTTTTTCTTGAGGAGTAAAGAAGAACATTTTATTAAAAAGATAAAAAAAGAAAGAAACAAACTTATTGAGTGTCAAGGTGACACCTAAACATCAGATCACTAGGAAAACAAGTTACATTATAGACTGGGACCTCAAGAAACTCCAGAAATTTTCTGCTAGATCTACACTGATAAACTGCTCAAATTCTGTGGGAGAGTCGAGACCTAGCTTGAATCAAACTTTCCAACTGAGGCCACCACCATGTCAAAAGCTTCTAAATTGTTTTCCTGTAATAAAGCCACCTCTGGATTGTGTTCCTAATCAAATTCCTAACCAGCTTTCTCCTTCTCTCCTCCTTCAGGCCTTGGACATCCCAGGATAACAGCTTCATTGTACTCCCCCTTCTACCTGACTCCCCCACTTCCTTCCCCTTACTCTTCCTCTGCATAGAAAATTTCCTCACCCCTTCCTCGTCCCAGATTTTTTGCGGTCTGTTTATCAGCAGCCCCAGATAAGTAAATGGAAGCACCCCCATTCTGCATTCAAAGGCTTCAGCACATTCTACTAATACTTCCCTCCCAACTTCCCCAACCCCAATCATCACACTCTTGGACAGATTCACTTTTAGACCTGTTAACAGTTAAAAGTTGGCCAGAATTGCTCTCAAATTTAAAACCTGCTGGACCAAGGCTAGTAAAATCAAAGTATCATCTGCATACTACAGATGAGAGATACAACGACCATCTCTACCCACCTTGAAACCTTCTAACAGACCCAACTGAACACTCAACAGCATATTCAGCATCTTCGTAACCAATACAAAAAGCATGGGAGAAGTTGGATCCCCCTGTCTCAACCCCCTTGAAGCTTGGTAAAACTGAAGATACACAAGCAAATATCCAACTTTTCCACTTCTCTCCAAACCCCATTAACCTTTGATAATACCTTGGCCTAGAATCAATACATTTACAAACCTCATTAACCGCCCGTAGATATCCCAGTTACAAACCAACCACTCTTCCACTCCTCAGCCTAGAATCAATACATTCACTTGCCACTATAACTCCATCCAAAATCTGTCTAACTTCCACAAAAGCCATTTGGGTTTCTCCCACTACCTCATGCAACACTTTTCTGAGCCTCTGATAATACCTTGGCTAATAATTTGTAAGGACTACTGATTAAGCTTACTGGTAAGGGTGGATTCCAGTTGAGTGGAGCCAAATATCTAGCTATTCAAGCTCGACTCACCAATAAACCATTAGACTCAAGCTCGAGCTCGATTCAAGCTAGAGACTTGAGCTTGAATTTGGCTCGAGTCAAAAGCTTGCAAGTTCAAGCTCGGCTTGGCTTGAGCTCGACTGTGAGCGAAGCATTTTATAAAAATAAAATTTATACATATAAAAAATTATTTTTTATTTGATATATAAGAAATTAAGAATTATAAAAATTAGTTATTATTATATATATAAAATAAAAATATTATATAATATTTTTATATTTATTATTTTTTATATGTATTATATATGTTTGTATGTATGTACATATATACTCTATATGTAAAAGCTCGATTAGGCTTGCGAGCCTCACGAGCCGAGCTTTGTTGGGTTCAAGCTTGACTCGATTAGCAAAGGAGCCTATATATTAAGTTCAAGCTCGACTAGAAGCTTGGTTTAAACCGAGCCAAATCGAGCTTCTCACGAGCCAAGCTCGAATAGCTTGTGGCCACCCCTACTTATTGGTCTGAAATCCTTCAACTTCATAGCACCCTCCTTCTATGGAATTCAGAGATATAAAAGTGGCATTGGCCATTTTCTCCAACCTTCTCTACCTATGGAACTCCATAAACATCAGGTCAAACTCTCCTTCCAGTATATTCCAGCAAGCCTTAATAAAAGAAAAATTAAAGCCATCTGGACGTGGGGCAATTTCCTCCATCTCAAACTCCCTTTCAATCCAATTTGCTGAAAATTCGCTTATCTTCTTAGGCACCAACTCCCCAAGGGACATCCAATTCCATACTCTTGAGGTATATAAGTTCTTGTAGTATCCTACCACCCTCTCCTGAATTTCATTCCATGTCTCCACCACTTCCTCACCCACCTGAATTTTTGAAATCAGATTCCTCCAAGCATTTGTGTAGGCCTGAAAGAAATCTGTGCTTTTGTTGCCTGCTTTCATCCATGACACTCTTGACTTTTGTCCCCAACTATCCTCTTCTCTAAGAATTAGCCTCTTCAATTCAGATTCTAGATCTTCTCTTTCCATCTTTTCCTCCCTAGTAACTGCTCCTTCCTCCTCCAATCTGTCCAGAAAAGTAATATTTTCCAGAATCTCCTTCTACCTGTTCCCCACATCCCCCTAAACGTTTTTGCTCCACACCTTGATCTCCCCCTTCAACAGTTACAACTTCCTGACCAGCCTGAATCCTGTAGACCCTTCTACTTGCAATCCACCCCACTTCTCTTCCACCCACTATGGAAAACTTGGATGATCAAGCCACATGTTTTCAAACTTAAAAGGTTTTGGGCCAACCATCACCAAAAATTGCCTAAGCACAATTGGCTTATGGTCTGACATAAAGAATAGAAAAGTTTCTTGCACCATGCTGCCTAGGCGCCTACATACTCTTCCCAGTCTCTTGAATAAGAAAACCTATCCAATCTTCTTAAGATAGGAGGGAATTATTGCCCATTTGACCAGGTAAATCTATAGCCACTCAAAGGGGGATCAATTAGATCATTCCTCATGAATTTGCTGAACCTTCTCATCCCTAGACTTTCTCTCCGATCCCTTCCTCCCTTCATCTCCCCCAGCCTTCTCACCAAGTTGAAGTCTCTCCCCAAACACCAAGGACCCCCCAATCCTGCCTAACCCCCTCTACTTCCTCCCAGAATTCCACCCTTGCCCCTTCTTCATTTGGCCCATACACATTTGTAAGACCCTGCTTCCACTCCTTCCACCATCTGAAAGCAGATCGAGATTGAAAACACCCCCTTCCTTCCCCTTCCTTTCTCCAATTTTCTTGAGGAAGAAGTATATGTTAGCAATGCTGCAAACTGCTTGGAAGATTTCAATGATGTGATGGTAGATGATATTCTGTTGAGAATGCTTGGACAATGGTGTTTTAGTCTTTTCATCATCTTTTGTATTTGGGAGTCCATGTATGGGCTTTCTTGTAATTTTTCTTCAAAGTATAAATAACATTTTTGAGGGTGTGAACAGTAACACTCCTCTCTCCGATACATTCTTCTTTCTGTTCTTCTTCAACAAACCCTAGAACTACAACTTGGTATCAGAGTGAGGTAGAGACTCTTAGGAACACATCTACTGATTCTCTCCTGAAAGATGACCTGCTGATGTCAGACCGCCGCCGGATGATGTCAGCAATCTGTACAGGTGATGGTGACAGTCCATACTGATCCTCTCCTGTGAGATGACATCGTATGCTTGGACGTGATCTTTCCTTGTGGTTTACAACTTTGTGTGTTAACAAATTCTTAATTTGGAATTAGTATGTGGCATTGTTTACAAGGAACCCAAACTTAAAAGACATTCCGGAAATTGTAGGGATATGCTATTTTAGAGGTAAACTTACTCAGAAATACACTTAATATTGAAAAATAAATTTACTATCTTATTCTGGATAGGTTTATCTTGGATGATGTGTGTAAAGAATTTATCAAGGATTTCCTATTAAATGATGGTTGCTCTGGGAACTTTTGGTCTGATACCTTGTTGCATTTCCTTGAAGATGTGGTTGCACCAAATGATCATGCTCCCAATTAAACAAAACCAGAGAGATGGAGATTCAGTTTGTACTGGATAAGAGTAAATCCTATGAATATTATGAAATCTTTAGACATTTCTCTTCTCAAAGCTACTTATAGAGATTTCACCCGAAGTTGAAAAAATTGATTGTCAAAATAGAAGGAAATGTTAGGAGAAATTGTCTCTTGAAATATATTTGTTTAATGCTTAATGTGTCAGCTAATTCTCTGCAGCTGAACGGGTGGAATCTGCAGTTCGCAACTTGAAAGGAGAATTTGGGGAGCAGCATGTGTGGGTACCCACTACATGGCTTTACCCCTACTTCTTTTTGGTTGGGTTGGAGAATTGTATGTAGTTACATTTTTCCAACTCTAAAGCATTTTATTCTTGCAGGGTACCATTTGTGATGTCAGAGAGGGTAAGGATGTCAGGGATTTAGTTGCATTTGCCCAAGACAAGCTCAAATACATTGATATATGGGTATGTATGTAAGCATGTCACTACCATCCGACTTTCTTTCCAAGTGTCATGTGGATTGAGTTGCAAAAAACAGTATGAGATTCTGTTACTGATTGAAAAAAAAAACAGTATGAGATCCATAAATAAAACAGATTGCTTGTGCAGGAACCAACTGGTCTGATATTGAATTTTCTGACTTTCCATGTATTTTTGAATTTCTGGCAGGAGGGCCATTTTGGTCATTTTGCATATTCTGTGGAATGAAGTCTAATAATTTGATTTGCCGTCATATTTTAGTTGTCTTTAAAACTTCAGTCATACAGACATATATATACAAATGTGTGTGTGTGCGTGCACGCGTGGGAGTGTAGGAGTAGCTCCAAAAAATGAGTATATCAGAAATTATGCTGAGATGGGGTAAGGCTTAGATGATGATGATGATTTATTATTGCTGTTTTTGTTTGCATAGAGTTGCTTGTTATCTGGTTATGGTTTTATTCTTTTGTTTTATTCTTTGTTGATTAAGAATTATGCATCTATGCTTGTGCTTCTTTGGAACCCTTATGTGGCCCCTGCCTATTGGAAATGGGAGAGGGGTGCCTAACCCCTAGGGATGCAAACGGATTGGATCGGATTCGAATCAGGGTATATCCAAATCCGATCTGATGAATTGTAGATTCGATCCAAAGATCCGATCCGATCCGATCTCATAAATATTAATTTGAATTTGAATCCGATAAGGATGTTGGATATCCAAATCTGATCCGATCCAATTTAGTTTTTAAAAATATTAATAAACTATTAAAAGGTAAAGAAAATATAATTGTTTAAATGAATAAACAAAAAATACAAGTATTTTTCCAACTATTTTCATCATATATATACATGTTTTTTATAAAAATAAATAAACAATATAAAAAATGTACAAAAATGCAATATGAATAGCATATTTATAAATAAATAGATAACATATATTGGATCTGATAGGGGTGATCCGAAACCGATCCAATCTGATCTGAAAATCTGAAATGGGGATATCCAAACCTAACAAAATAGGATCAGGCTTCGGATCGGATTGTATCATGATCCAATCCATTTTCACCCTTACTAACCCCTTCCCTTTCCCATCTGAGTCTTCTTACCTGGATTGGTTCATCCGGTGCCTTAGGTTTGGAGTCACAATAAATCAAAAGATGATTTTTGATACAATTCTTGGAGGTTCCATCACCTCTACTTCACTTGGCCTATGGGTGGCGACTTCGAATCAGCCCCAAGTGAGTAGTTTTCCCACTCTCACATAAAGGGAGCAAAAATCTTGGGCTGTATGGTTTCCCAATGGCCTTTGACTTATTTGGGGTTGCCTTTGGGGGATAATCCGATAGGTAGTAATTTTTGGAACCCTATGATTGAAAGATTTACAAAAAGATTAGCGTCTTGGAGGAAGAGTAATTTATCTTTGGGAGATAGGATTACCTTGATTAGGTCCATACTAGCCCATTAGCCCATGCATTTTATATATGTGTTTAGGATTCCGGTGGGGGTAAGTAGAAGGCTTGAGAAGTTGATGAGGGATGTCTTATGCAAGCTAGGAGAGGAGACGAAGGATCATAGTTTTAGACCGTTAGATGGGAAGTGGTGTGTAGAAGTAAGAAGTTTGATGGATTAGGTCTTGGGAACATTTAGGAGAGGAACATTGCTTTGTTAGGGAAGTGGCTGTGGAGACTGTTGTTGGACAAGGATAAATTGTGGAAAAAGGTGGCCATTAGTATTTATGGGATTACGTCTGATGAGTGGGACAGTGGGATCTGGAATTTTGGTAAGGTTTACAAGAATTCTCCATTGGAAATCCATTCATGCCATCCTACCTTCCTTGTCATTCATCCGGTATAATTCCTGCTCTAGAAATTTGGTCAAAGTTTGGAACATATTTGGTTGGGAAATTCACCTTTAAGTGAACAATTTCATTCTCTTTATGCCCTTTCTATCTGTAGGGAGGAGCCCATTTCCTCCTTCATGGCTCCTAATTTTAGATTTGGTTTTGATTGGGATTTGATCTTTAGAAGAAGCCTTCATGAGAGTGAAATAAGTAGTTTATCGGCCTTGCTTCAAGATCTTGATAGATTGGTACTAGATCCCTCAAAAGGGGATAGTTGAATTTAGACTGTTTCATTCGTTGGTTTCTTTACTTGTGCCTCATTCTTTCTCCATCTAATACAATCAAGTGTCAGTTTGGAAGTGCCTTTTCCTGTAAATGAGGTTTGGAGCAAACCTATTCCACCTAGGATTGGTGTTTTTCGTTGGAAAGTGTATCTGGAAAGAATTAACACTATGATTTACAGCAAAGAAAAAGACCTTATTGGTGTCTTTCCCCTTACTAATGTCCTCTCTGTAAGGTCAACAGTGATGATTAGAAGGATCTTTATTGGAGGTGTACAAGGGCGGCTCTTTGTTGAACACTTTGGGAAGAAAGAAATCAAATATTTTTTTTTTCAGTAAAGGAATAGGGAGGCAATAATTGAAGCCATTACTATCAGATTGGTTCATTGGGTGATGACCTTGAAGCTGTTTGAGGACATTCCAATTGGTGATTTAATGAGAAAGTGGGGGTAAGTAGTTGATTCTGCTCCTCTCAAGGAGAATCTTAGGCCAGATTGGTCCCTACCCATCAGTGGCTTCATAAAGCTTAATTTTGATGGTAGTAGTGAAGGAAATATAGGTCCTTTAGGTATTGGAAGTATTCAGAAATGAGGAAGGAAGAATTATTGCTCTATTCTCCAATCCAATTGGGGTGGGTGATGCTTTGAGGGCTAAATATTGACTATCATGGAAGGAATTCAAAAAAGAAAAGGGTTTGTGATAGATCCCAGGCAGGTAACCCGACTTCAGGTTATCAGGCCCATGCAGGTCAGGAAGCCCATGCAGCACTAAAAGTGGCCAACCCAAAGCCTTACAAGCCTCCCCTGCATTTTGTCTACACCCGTAGTCCACGTCAAGACACCCCACATGCATAGTTCATTGGTAATGATGAATTGATAGGTAAGAAAGCCTATATAAGGCCAATGGGCAATGAAGAATATGTGAAGAACCATAACTAACTCTCTTTTTCTATTTCTTACTCTCCTCTCCCTCTTCTCTGGTTTTGTTTCATTTTTATGGAGGAAGGAGCTCCCTTAAAGAAGCTTTGTTGATGGAGAGTCTATCAATTGGTATCAGAGCCCCTCGATCCACCATGCCTACCACTAGCAACCAATTGTAGGAGGAAAGAGTCAATCAGATGGAGGGTGAACTAAGGGGTATCAAGGACGCCCTAGTGCCACTTGTTCCAACATGACCACCTATCCATCAAGTGTATATGCATCGACATGCACCGGCCCCTCCAGCTTCTTCACCGTCAACGAATCCAACAAGAGTTTCCGCAGCACCCTCACACCTAGTGTCTGATCTTGACCTTCCCATTGCCCTATGGAAAGAGTAAACGCAGTTGTACCTTTCATCCTATCTCCAATTATGTTTTCGTTTCTCACCTCTCTCCTTCCCATCGACAGTTCATTTCGTTGTTATTTTCTAGCTTTGTTTCTAAGGATGTCCAGGAAGCCCTTATCTCTCCAGGGTGGCATCAAGCAATGGAAGACGAACTCTCTGCTCTGGCTCATAATCATACGTGGGATCTCACTACTCTTCCCCTTGGTAAGCATGTTGTAGGATGTAAGTGGGTTTACACAATCAAGTATTTGCCTGATGGTAGTATTGAGAGATTGAAAGCTCGGTTGGTTGCCAAGGGTTATTCATAGTTATATGGTATTGACTACACAGAGACCTTCTCTTCTGTTGCCAAGATTGGTTCTGTTTGTGTTTTGATCTCCCTTGCTGCTATGTATGATTGGCCGTTGTTTCAGCTTGATATCAAGAATGCTTTCTTGCATGGTGATCTTCTTGAGGAGGTATATATGGAGCAACCACCTTGGTTTGTTGCTCAAGGGGAGGATGGTAAAGTGTGTAAGCTCAAGAAAGCTATTTATGGACTTAAACAGTCTCCTCATGCATGGTTTGGATGGTTCAGTGAAGTAGTGAAAAAGTTTGGCATGAAGTAGTGTCAAGTTGACCATTCTGTATTTAGTTATGATTTTGATGCTGGGAAGATTTCGTTGGTGGTATATGTGGATGATATTGTTATTACTGGCAGTGACAGGTTGGGATTGATAGGTTGAAGATCTTTTTGCATGATCACTTTCAGACAAAGGGTCTTGGCAAACTAAAATATTTCTTAGGGATAGAGGTTGCAAGGTCCAAACATGGTATTAATTTGTGCTAGAGGAAGTATGTCCTTGATCTACTGGAGGAGACAGGGTTGTTGGGTGCCAAACTAGTTGAAGCACCTATGGAATTGAATGTTAAGTTGAGTAGTGATACGGGTGAGGAGTTTGAAGATCCAGGAAGGTATAGTAGGTTAGTGGGTAAGATAAACTACCTAACTATCACTCGACCAGATATTTCATTTGCAGTTGGTGTGGTGAGTCAGTTTATGCGGAATCCTCGGATCCCTCATTGGGATACAATTCTAAGGATTGTAAGGTACTTGAAAGGTGCTCTGGGTCGTGGTTTGCTATACAAGAGTGGAGGAAAACTTGAGATAGAAGGGTACACCGATGCTGATTGGGCTGGTTCTGTATCTGACAGGAGGTTGACTACAGGTTATTGTACCTTTCTTGGGGGTAACTTGGTGACATGGAAGAATAAGAAACAAACAATGGTGGCAAGAAGTACTGCAGAAGCTGAATACAGAGCTATGGCACATACAACTTGTGAACTGGTGTGGTTGAAGAACCTTCTACAGGAGATGGGGTACTCAATTGGTACACTGATGAAGCTTTATTGTGACAACCAAGCTTCTGTCCACATTTCCTCCAATCCAGTCTTTCATGAGAGAACAAAACATATAGAAGTTGATTGTCACTTTTTGAGAGAGAAGGTTCTTAGTGGTGTAATAAGTACAGCTTATGTTAACACAGGAAGCCAATGGGCAGATCTATTCACCAAAGGGTTGAGTTGGACAAGAGTGGATTACATATGTAACAAGCTAGGACTATATGATATATACTCTCCAGCTTGAGGGGGAGTGTTAGTGTCGACTAAATATGGGTAGAATGGTCATTTGTATGTAAATTAGAAAGGCTAATACATCCTGGTCGAATGAAGAGAACAGTTTTTCTCTCTTCAGTTCGAACCAGGTTTTCTCCCCTCATTCTTCCTCTTTCTTTTCTCTCTTTTCTCTTCTTCCTTCTTTTTCTTTTTCTTCCTTGATTAATCTGAAGGCTACAGGTTTACAGATCTGAACTTTATCAACCCTCTACATTGGAACAAGCAATTACTGTCCTTGCATGGAAGACTGGGTTACAAGCAATATGAATAACCTCCAAGTATGCATTTCAACTACACACCACAAAGTAATTTTTCTTGAACAAAGTGACAATTCAACTCTATATATTTTTCCCTTTTATGGAAGACTGGGTTGGAAGCAACATGAATAGCGACCTAGTTATTGCATTTCAGCTTCATAGGAGTTGGAACACAATACTCAAGCTCTTGAAGAAGATGCTGAATCCAAACTATTTCACATGTAGTATGCACCATAACCTCATACTCTGCATTTGCACTACATTGTGCTACTACACATTGCTTCTTATTCTTCCAAGTAACAAGATTGCCGCCAACAAATGTACAATGCCCAGTAGTAGAACTTTTATCACCGATAGAACCTGCCCAATTGGTATTAGTGTAACCCTCAACCTCCAAATGACCATTTTGCCTTGTATAGTAGGTCACGACCAGGAGTTCCCTTCAAATATCTAACTACTCTAATCCTGACCTCCCAATTGGCATTAGCCTGGTTACTTGAGCCAACAACATAAGATGTAGAGGGAATGTGAAAAGAACCATCTAATTGTCCAAGTACATAGCTATACTTTTCAGGCTGCTTATGCATTGAACAAAGTAGATCATCCTTGGATCCAGAACTAGAGAAGTGATCTAGGGGTATAGGAGTTAATTGTTACTAATTTTCTTCACTAGGCTGGTGAGTAATATTATGTGCTGCATTAAACTTCTTTCTAGATTTGTTTTTTTTTTTCTTCATGGGGATATACAACGGGGGGTAGCCCACCCCCCTCCCTTAACCCTACCAACCCTGGTGGCTGCGGGATTTGATCCCAGATCTCTGCTCCCACGAGTTAGAGATCCTACCAAATGAGCCACCATCAGTTGGTTTCTTTCTAGATTTGGTTGTCTGTTCTGATCCTGTTTTTATTACATTGGTTGTACTGCTCTTGCAGGATACAAGCTAGTTTGTTGTTTTTATCCTTTACTTGCAGGTTACATAGCTTTTCTTGTCTTCGGTTAGGTAATTTTGGGTGTAAGATTTATCAAAAAAGAAAAAAAAATCTTGAGTTGTATCACATAAAAGCACTCATATTGATCATTTTATCAGCTTTTCTGCATAACCTCTGTATTTGAACTATTAATGTTAGGTCTCAACTTTGCATTTTCATTAGATCCTATTTTGAGAAAGAATGCAGATCAATAATGCGGGATCAAATGCATACAGCTTCAAACCATTGGCAGAGACATCAGATGATGATCTCATGTAAGATTCCTTCATGCAAATCTATTCTCTATTCTATGCAATCATTCCAACTCATAGGTATTGTTTCTTTGGCAGTGAAGTTGTTACGACAAACACTCTTGGCTTGATGATATGCTGCCGAGAGGTGAAAAAAGATCCCAAATTTCTCTTAAGTGTGTAATTTTGGGTCTACTTCCACTTATGATTATGAGTTTTGTAGGCAATAAAGATGATGCTGAACCAAAGTCGAGGAGGTCATATTTTCAACATTGATGGAGCTGGCTCAGATGGGAGACCAACCCCAAGGTACTGTATTTTTCAGACAGGTTCAGAGTGATGACAATTGCAACTTGTGTGCATCTTTGTATAATTTTTCTTTTTCTTATGAGGAAATTTAAAATACTAGACTGCAGGAGGTTCCACTCATCCCACTGATAAGAGGGATGCAGGATGTAACCCATATTTAGTGTGTTTAATGCTACAATCCCTTAAGAGGAATCTCCTATGCTGCAATTATACTTGACCCAAACTCTTCAACCATACCAGCTATCATTTTTTGGCAATGGTTAGGAAAGTGCAACCAATACCTTCTTTCTTTTCTTTCTTTTTTGCTTTTTGTTTTTTTATTGTTGAATGTCTCTCTTGGAGAGTTGTGTGGGGAAGTTAAGCTCTTAAGTATGACAAACCATTCAGGGGCTTGTTGTTTTGGAGAGCAACCAAATCCCACGTTTGTAGGGGAAAATCTGGCTATGCAGATATGTGCAGTCTTTTGGGGAATTCCTCAGCCATTCCCAGTTAACTTACATGCAGCCTTTTGGGATATTCCTTGGCCATTCCTAGTTACCTAGGACACCAGATCCTAGATTGCTTTGATGGGGACATGTGTGGAGTGGGGGACCAGGTAGTAGCCTGTGCTGGCTTTCCTTGACACCCTTCTCCAGGTCTCACCACGTTGCACAACCTTGGGGTTGAGGCCTATTTGAGTATGCATGGTATCTCTCGCTGAGTGAGTTGCAGTGTGACTTTGACAAGATTGAGGTCGAGAGGGAAGCGAGGCTATGGGGGAGGCTTTTGGCCGAAGCCGGGTCAGTGAGATCAGGCCTTGCAAGCTTCTTGCTGGCCTGCTGAGATCAGAGGGGTAGCGAGTCCAAGGCTTGTGGCTTTGCAGGTTCCGTAATGGGTTGGCAAAGCCAAGAGCTGGCGGATCCATGGTTTCGAGCCTTACAGGTTTCATGACAAGGTGGCTTGATAGACTGGCTTCATTTGCGGGTCCTAAGCTATGAGTTCTTAAGTCTTCGTGCAGGGTTTCGAGCCTTACAGGTTTCATTACAGGTAATATGCGGGCCTTGTTCTTTTTTTTTTTTTTTATCAGCAAAAAAACTTTCATTAATAACTGAGAAATTAAGTTACAATAGATAAAGATTGCAGAGGGACCGACTGCAATCTCCAGTAATTAGTTACAATTCTGCCCAGTACAAGGAAGATCTATTTGCCCCTTGTTTTGCTAGGGTATTCACCATCCTATTTGCATCCCGTTTGACCCAAATGTGGGCCTTGTTCTTGGACTAGTCAGACTCTAATTCCAGTTTAAGAAGATACATGGGACTTACAAGTTGTCCATACTTGCTTTATAGTGTCTATATTCTTTTCATTGATCAATGAAAAGGCTACTTGTGGATTGTCTTACACAAAGTTTATTCAGAAATTTCATGATCTAGTTTGTCTTACATTATATTTCCTTTTTAAAAGTAAAAGCTCATTTATAACATTGTCCCATGGATTTATCAGCTGGAATGTATATCCTTTACTCTTTGAAGCTCCTTTAATTTCATGTAGATTTGTTTTTATTTTTTCTTAGAACTATATTTGGAGGGTGATAGTTCTTCCTTTTTGTCCTGTAGATTTGCAGCATATGGAGCGACAAAACGTAGTGTGGTGCATCTAACAAAGTCATTGCAAGTACGTATCCAAAATTGCTATGGGAAGTTGTAAAAGTTGTGTTTTGGTATCTGTATATGTCAATTTAATATGTTGGTTGAATTTGTAGTCTAAATATTGTATATGATAGTTGCATTCTCTAACTTCTTGCAGTCCATGTGGCAAAGATGTAATGGTTCAGAACTAACTATCGATGTTCTGACCTAGGTGACCAGTTAGGTCAATAATCAATAGGGTGGGGTTTCAGAACCACTATCTATCATAGTACTCTGGATGCTAAATAAATGTCCATGCACCTACCTTCTTGTGTGCTAAGTGTCCTGATATTCCCTTTAATGACAAGAATTTGAGTTTTATTCTAGTACATATTTGGAGTTTGGAATAAGCAAAGACTTTTCCAACTTTAGATATATTGTAGAACAAGCATTTTAAATGCCTTCCTTGCCTATTTTTAAACAGTAAGCTCTTAAATCTTAATGCAATTTATTTCGAGGATGATGCCAAACCATGAGTCCAATGAAGTTATAAATTGATACAAGTTGTTCTCTGATATGTTCACAGGCTGAATTACAGATGCAAGATGTAAGAAATGTAATAGTGCATAACCTGTCGGTATGTTTCTTTTCTTTCCCTTTTCTCTGTTTTGTTCTCATTTGTTTATATTGTGATGTCAAAGAATGAAACTTCATGATTATGCATGATTATCAAAATACATCCTTGTTGAAATTGTAGAGATTATCAGTCAAATGGGCCTTAATCTTTTTATTTTGTTTCTGTTGCTAAGAGTGTATTATGTTAAGTTAATGAATCTTAGTTATGGGCCACTTTTATTCCTTTTTACTCTCCTTATCAAGTTAGCTGCCTCACTAAGGGCATCCTTGTAATTGTACCTGAATTATAATCAGTTTTGATAAAATGTGTTTAGGGGAATGAAAGAGGACCGGTTAGTTCTTTTCTTTCTCCCTCTAATTCCCACTTTCTTCTTCTTCCTTATGGACTTCCTTTTCCTTCTCTTTTTTTTTTTTTTTTTTTTCTTTTCTCTTAACATAAACTCAGATTTGTTGCTGGTTTATTTTCAACTTGGTCTCGGAGCAGGTCACCATTTCATGCTTCTTTTAGGCTTATACATAGTGTGTATGGAGAATTAAGTTGCTGATCGACTGGAGGCTTATGTCGCCTAGTTGGGGGATTTTTCTGGAGAGGTTTGCGCATTCATGTTGAGGCCCAAGACAGGTTCTAGGAGTCCCCCTTGAAAACCCTAGCCAACTAGAGAAAACAGGTTAAGGGGTCTAGGGACTCATTCAAACTGGCGTTTGGGGCTTGAAAGGAAGGTTAGTGATCCTTATTGAGATTGTTTGAGGTTTGAAGAGTGTTTGGTGTTCGTAGGAGTGACCACATCTCTCTTTCTCTCAGGTTGTAGGTTTTTGTGAAATCCTAGATTAAGGTAATGGAAGAGGTGTTTTGGCTTTGAATTAGTTTCATGGCTAGTAGCACATTTTTTATTTATGTTTGTTTCCATTCAGCCAGTTGGAAAAATTTGAGGGTGAATACTCTGAATGTAGCTAGAGCCTATAAACTCAAAAATGCGGTGAATAATCTGAGACAAGGGGAGAAGTCTCTAGTAGTGTATTTATCAATCATGAAATCACTATTCCAGGAGATTGAGTGATGGAAACTGTTGTATGACAATGCACTAAAGATGGTAAGACTCATTGAAAGTTGGTAGTAGAGAGGAATTGGGTATTTGAGTTCCTTACCGGGCTTGATCCCAAATATGATATTGTTAGGTGGAATATCCTACCAAAAGATAAGGTGACCATATCTCAAGCTTATGCCCTGGTTAGTAGTGAGGAGAGTAGGAGATAGGTTCAGATTGTGGAAGCTCCAATTGATAAATTTTCCAATGTTGGTATGAAACCAAAGGTTACTGCTAAAAAGAAGGATGTGTAGGAATATTGTAATAAACCAAAACACGCAAAGGACACTTGTTGGAATTTGTATCCAGAGCTAGTACCTGCTAGATTCAAGAACAATAACAATGGTAAGAAGAAAATGGGAGTGGAAGAGGCAACAATGTTAACGTAGCCACCTCCTCTTAGAATGAAAAGGAGCTTGGTGGTGAAAAGTTTATAGGGGATCATCTTGAAACCGGTAGAGCAAGAGTATGAGAGGTATGGCTGAATCACCAGCCACTTTGAGTCTACTATCACAACTCCTACTCCTTCAGGCAACAACCCCTCTTCAGCATATGCCCACTCAGGTATTCGTGCCACTATGAATCATGCTTCTGTCTCAGGCAACAACTCCTCTTTAGCATATGTCCCATTTATTTACTACCTATCAGATTTTAGCTGGTCGAGACAAAATTTCCCTTGTTGATGGCTCTCTTGCTCTATCTTAGGCAAGGGAGACATCAAGACCTCAGATTCCCTTACCTTGTCTTCAGTTTTTCATGTACCTAAGCTTAATACCAACCTTTTCTCAATTAATTTAACAAAATATTTGAATTGTAGTGTAACCTTTTTCCCTTCATATTGTGTTTTTCAAAACATCATATCTCAAAAGGTGATTGGAATGGTGATGAGGCGAATGGGATATACTTGCTGGACATGCTTGAGCAAAGTCAAGTACCTCCTTAGAAAGTTACCTTTAGGTCGCATGTTTTGTAGTCACTTGGTCAAGTCATAATGTGTCATTATCATTTGGGTCATCTTTCTTTTTCTTCATTGAGTCTCTTGTTTCCAACATTATTTAATGGAATAAATTTGTATAGTTTACCTTGTGAGTCTTGTGAGTTGTCAAAGTATTGTAAAAACTCTTATTGAATAAGCAATAAAAGATCCACATCTCTTTTTCATTTTGTTCACTCTGATGTGTGGGAGCCTTACCATTTACCTTGCTTGGGTGGCTATAAATACTTTATTTTGTTTGTTGATGATTTCCCCGTTATACCTAGCTTTATCTTATGTGCTCTTGTGTTGAAGTATCGAATCTTGTAAAGCGTTTCCATAAATTTGTACTCACATAGTTTGACACCTGCACCAAAGATTCAAAATATTCCACTCAGACAATGCTAAAGAATATTTTGAGAAAGACCTCACTTCTTACCTTGAGAATTTTGGGGTTGTTCATTAGAGTTCTTGTGCCCATACTCCAAAACAATGGAGTACCAGAGAGGAAAAACCAACATGTTGTAGAAGTAGCTAAGAGTAGCCGAAAGGGGAAGAGCTTCCTCTACAGTTGCAGCTTCGGTGCTCCAGCAAGACTTGCGCAGAACAGTGGTAAAGACTTAGCCTCTTCTACAGTTGCAGCTTCGGTGCTCCAGCAAGACTCTTACAGAACAGTGGTAAATAGCCCTATTTTCAGGTCGGTTACCAGCCTTACTTTAGCCCTGCACAGCACAGTGGTAAAG